AGCTTTGAACCTCGAAAAACCCGGCTCGAAACAATTTCCTCGCTTCGTCGTCTTTTGAAATGCAAATCGACCAGCCGGATCGAGGGGGTGAGGAGGAGTTCCTCCGCCCTTAAAAGTGTCAATTACTCGTGATTTAATTCGCGACGATACGATTTGCGGTGTCTTAACATGTTTCAACTGAGAACGCTCGCGGGACCTCCTCTCATCGAGATGTATCCTACGAACAATCTCCTCTCTTTCTCTTAAACATCAAATACGCGGAAAGAAAGGAGTCGCGATAAAGGCCGTTTACTGAAGAGCAAATTGCAGAGAGAAGAGTCGCTGCCCATTCAGTAACTCCTCGCTCATATCAGCTTCTTCTTTAGAAAAATTATCCCGTATTACCTTTTTTCATTACTCGTAATCCCGCGGCAGCGTCCGGCGTGCGATTTAGCGGACGAGAAGGCGCGGATTTAGTAGCGGCGAAATTCCGAGCGCTTTGTGCTCGGCGAAAAATTTCTCGCGCATAATGCCTTTTTATATTGTATAATGTATCATCCAATAAAATCTCTCGATCGATCATTCGTCGGGATTGTTATTTCGAATATTCGCCATTATTGCTGACACTGTCGGAGCTTCATTATACGTAACATCGGTACTATACGCGCACAAAGCTATGCAAATATATATTTATGATAATCTTCTCATCTAATACAGTCTACCCGACGTATGATAAAGCCGCGTTTAATGTCGCTGCTTTCGCGAGACCCTCGTGAATATATTTATGCATTGTGTGGACGAGAGAAAAACCGACCGTTGTAACCGACTAATAATTCACTCGTGACTTTTCTCGCGCGCGCGTGTGCGCGTGAGAAATTTACTAATGTACATGTAACGGCGACGATGCATTAACCGCGTCGAGCTTTTCCGAAAGCTACGCGTATAATGCTGCACATTTCGTTGGAATCGCGCCGAATAGCATGAGTTTCGGATATCAGCCGAGTAACCCTCCATCGCGCGATATGGAAGATAAATCGCACGAGTCTGTGTTATTTCTCAACAAAATTTTGAAATATCGCGAGCAAACACGCTATCGCGGCGCGCGAGTCGATGATAATTTAGGTGTGGGAATGTGTGCGATCTAGTCCAATTCGTTATTGCGGCGGAGGAAACTCTTCGGCAACGTCAAGAAAGACGCCGATATCGCGGAGGACAATCACGATATAACCGAAATAATTTAATCGCGAAATTCAAGCAGCGACATCACTCGCTAAATTGCTTGATGAGACTTTACGACAGCCCATTATTAATACAACAAATCGTGACTTTATTGTTTCAGCGCGTTATATAGAAGAAACTATTTAACGTCAATCTGCCTATCACGTCGGCCGTCGGCGTCGGTGCCGCCTATTTGCCTATCAATTAAATTATTTTGCAAATCTCTGTAGTCTGAATTTTCTTCCCTATAACGTTATTTAGCACGACGTCAAAAATGGTGTAACGTTTGCTGTATATAACTCGGTTATCGATTCAACAATAAATTACTTTCTCCCACAGTACTTTATATCGTCGCAATCGCTCTGTGCTAGTTCCACCGTTTAAAACAAAATATCGCGGACGAGCGGGAGATTTATTCAAGTTTCGACGATATGGATCCGAAGATATACGTTGACGAGATGACGGCAGAACGTGAAATTCGAATTAAATGAAACGGCAAGAGCAGTCGATGTGAAAGAACGAATAATTTCAGCGGAATATTGATGAAAGTAATAGCAATATAGAGAATAATACGAAGAGGTCAGGAATAATATCTTTTGTTACTGTTATAAAAAAAAAAAAGAAAAAAGAAAGACTATATTGCGCGATATAACGGATATAAAAGGCGGCGAATTAGCATTCTATCCCTCCTCCTACTTCGCCCTTGCTACCGTTTCGTTATCATCGATATATACGCGCCGTGATACCACCGAACAAATTAATTTATAAACGGCGTGCTCCGATCACGTGCACCCGGTGGCGTTGATGGCGATAAATTTAGCCTCGCACGCGTACAACGAATTTTCGAGGGTTGCAGAGGCGGTTGCGCAGGTTTCTCCCTCTCTCTTGCACTTTTTCTCTTTCTCTTTTTGCCGACGATTTTTTGACGACGACGACGACGACGACGTCGACAGATCGGGTCAAGCGGTTAATTCGCGAAACATCAATGTAACGCCGTTATACCGCTACTTCGACCGACCACGAGCCGCGCCATTGAGGTCCCCGGAGCATGAATAATCCGCGCAGGGGTCTAGAATAATTTTACGTTGAATTCAAATCCAGGATCGATGAGGCCTACTCCCGCCGACGATCTAACCCAGTTTCGCGTTACGATAGGCGTGTGCAGCGCAAGTGTGTATGCCGCCGTTTCTCGCTCCGCCGTGCGCGGAGTAGAGTCGCGAGTCGATAAAAACGTAATTTTGCGCCACCGTTCTTTAGCGTACCCTCTACGCGGCCACGCGTGTGCGGGCTACCGATGACATAGTGCTGGTGAACCATCGATGCACCGATGACGCGGAAAACCCGAATGAATCGCGCAACATACCGCGAAAATGTAAACACGTTCTCGACTCTCCACTCCGAGAAAGGAGAGAGGGAGAGAGAGAGAGAGAGGAGAGGCCATCAATTTCGCCGATTGACCGCGGTGTTTCGCTGTGACTACCTACATTCGATTGTCGCGAATAACATTATATAACTAGAGAGAATAGTATAGTGTGTGTGTGTGTGTGTGTGTATATACTATATACATTATATCTATGTTTAATATGCATATAGATATTTCTGACGACGTGTGTGTGTGTGTGTGTGTGTATGTGTGTGACCGTCCATTCGTTTAATATTTCGTCACTGCGGTGTGTTATCGCGCCTGTGATTCGTGTCCCGGCGACTTTTGCCGTTTGTGAGTAATCTGAAGGAGATCTATCTGTTCCTGCGGTTTGTAGAACCCCACGGATAATGTGCGATTCGCGAAACTATAAGGCGACCTGCGACATTTCTCGTGGACGACAGCGAACACGCACCACGTGAAGAGGACTTTAAGGACAACATCGCGACGTCCTCGTCCTGATCGCCGACGCACTACCCTGCACGTTCACGCACTCACCTGCCCCGTATATGCCAGTAATAATCGTCTACCACACACCGTGCGAAATCGGCCTTAGGAGGCCGCGCGACGAAGAAACTGCGCGAGAGATTAACGAGCGCATCGCGTGAAAAAGCGCCGCTCTCCGAGAGCGTGCCGAGGCGCGTCGCGTGACCTCGCCGTCGCAGAAACGCGATCCCGACACGCGTTGCCCTGCTGGTAGCGCGGATTAATCGGGGGTGACACCTCTCCGTCAGCGTCTAATTGACGAAGAGGTCGACGAGAAGGCCCCCGCGTGCCGGCGACGGCGACAGACGCGCTCCGGCTGCATCGACGAGGACGCGAAGGGAACACGCGGAGAACGCACTGCTCACGATCGAACGCGCGAAATTGCGGAACCGGAGCAAAAGTACGCGGATGGAGAAAGAGAGAAATAGAGAGACGGAGACATATACACGGAGAGAGAGAGACAAAAGGGGGGGGGGGGAGAGGGGAGAGGAGAGAGAGAGAGAGAGAGAGAGAGAGAGAGAGAGAGAGAGAGAGAGAGAGAGAGAGAGAGAGAGAGAGAGAGAGAGAGAGGTGCACTAGTCGCGCGTGCGGTCTGACGCGAGATGCGTGCGTGCGTGCGTGCGTGCGTGCATGCGTGCGTGCGTGCGTGCGTGCGTGCATGCGTACGTACGTACGTACGCGAGCGCGCAAGGTGCGGGTCGCGAGCGCGTGTCCAAGCACCTGGAAATCCGCGACCTTCGACCGACGGAGGTTCGTCGAAGACTGGCCACCACAGGGTGGGTGGCTCTTTTTCAAAGGCGGCGTTTTCTCCACGGCGTCGGCGGCGGTGGAGGAGGCGGTAGAGGCGGCGGTGGCAGCGGTGGCGGCGACAGTGGCGAAGCTTCCGGATGAAGGTAACGGGCATGCGTGTGACGGATGGCACGACTACTGTGCACGAGTGTGCACAGGGTGTGCCGAGAGAAACGTGTGATCCGGAAACGATAGCTTGCGGTCGCTCGCTTTCCGCGTGTGTGTCCTACTCTCGACGCCGACGACCCTGCGGCAGCCGCCTCTCTCACACATTCTCTCTCTTTCTCTCTCTCTCTCTCTCTCTCTCTCTCTTGCTCTCTCGTCAGTGTGTGGTTTATGGTGATGGTGATATAGATTAAACTGCCTGGAGCTTTGATTCCCTTTGCTCTCTACCGGAGAGCAATCAGGGAATCGCATTTCGCTCTTGTTCAGAAGAAAAGGAGCCATATTTCGCTCTCGATGGGTTCCGTACATTCGAATAATCGCGGTACATAATGATAAATTTTGATTGATTGGTACTTTCAATCGTGTGTCTCGACGCTACCGCGAACCTCGGCCTTAATATGCTTTTGGCGATTGCGAGGGATACTTGTATTTAAAGAAGGTAAATTGCGCGTTCAGTTCAACTCTGCAAAAGGTCGGTTCGGTTAACCGCACTGCGGTAAAGCGAAGTTATTGGATCACCTTGTATATCGGGCGCGCCCGCGGTTCCTCCCCTATTTCCCACTTCAAACCCCTCATCGGCGTACAACTGACTCTTTTTTACTATCAGATGCCTTTCGACATTCGGCAAGACATATCCGTTCAGGCTTATTTTCCGGAGAGATATACATAAACTCGAGAGTTTTGCACATTTAAGCTTTTAAAACTCACTCACAAGCGAAAACATTCATAAACTTTCACATGATCTAATGTTTCGACAGAATATAAGAAAGATACGTAGCTATCGCCGCCGAAATAACGGCAATACTTTAGTGTTTTCAATAATTTCAAAAGAAAGGAAACTTTGGCAACAATTAAAGATATGTCAAATTATCAGCACTTAGCGATCCATTTATATCCTCATGCAGCAATAATATTTATAAAAGTGAAACGTTCGACTCACCACCCTGCTATGCCATTGGGTTGTATTTCCTGCAGGAAGATGCCGAGCTCGCCCTTGTCCTTGCTCCGTAGACCGACCACGCTGAAACCCAGGCTCGTCCCTTCCGGCTTATACAGCTAGAAAAAAGGCGGAATCGTTTCGATCAGCATGATGCTTGCAACGTTATAATACTTCTTCAGATGAATTTTACTAAAGCAACAAATAATGTGCACAAATTTACCTGCACTGTGAATATCTGTCGTCCTCTTGCCGCAGCTTCGATAACCTTCTTAAATTCCTTCGCGTAAGTAGGAGTAGTTATTGGAGGCATACCAATAACTTCTGAAACAAGGCTCGGGCTAGTAACCTGTAACAAAATTGCAATAAGCATTTTAATGCATAAAAGATTCACACGAACAGTGTCCAGGTCAAACGAGATAATGCAGAATTACCTGTGCACTTGTGTCTTCGCTGCTGCTATGCAATAACGGAGCAACTGGTACTCTCTGGTCCTCCAATTCACTGCTGTCTTGATACAAATCTTGATAAAGATTTGGTCCAAGTGGCTGCACCGGAGTACTCGGTACAGAGAGTTCTAATTGCCCACTGATGTTGATGTCAAAATCGCCAGGCAAAATAGACGGATGATGTGCCAATTGGGTGTTCAACTCAATCAGCGAATCCTGAATCGTGACTATGCTGCGAAGAACTGGATCCTCTAGCAAGGATATCAATGACTTTAAATCTTGGGATGTATGCATCTGCAGCTTGGGATCATCGCAGTCATCCACTCGTTCCTGCACATGCTCCAGCAAGTGGAGCGCTGTAGATATATCTGTAACAGAAAATATAATACCCACTTGTTAAAATTCTTGTTAAAATTAATTAAAAAATATTAAGTACAATTAAGTAAAAAAAATTCTTCGAGCACAGCGAATTAGCTAAACAAGAGAAGAACGCAAACAGCAATTTATTATGTACACAATTACCTGCACTGAGCGGCATATTGGCCTCCTTTGACTTCCTGATAGGATTCGAGTGTATAACAAATTCCTCGTACCTGGAACACGAAAAAACAATATCCTGCAATGGGTGCAAAATTATTCAAATTTGAATATTCAAATTCAGATATTTCAGAGTGTGCGTCGAACAACTCGTCCGAGTCGAGTGAGCGTTATATTTTCTTAACCTCAAAATAGCGAAATGCTCGCGATCTCAAAATTCGAGCGAATAACGTTGTTCACGATAACGCGACGTTTAATTTTCATTAAGTAGCATCGTCGTGAGCGTACATCGCGAATCGATATGAAGTTGCGTGACGGAGAGGAGGCTGTGCAATTATCTCCAGCATCCGCGATTTCTCACCTGGATTCGCAAGTCCCAGTGGGAAAACAAACACTTCCGCGAATGCTTGCAAGCTCACGCAATCACGATCGATCTCACGTCGCAGTTAACGAGCGACGGAGGATTGCATCGCGGCGTCAGCTGACTTTACCAAACTATCGCGATGTCGAGCACTTGACAGCTTTCCTGACGTACACGTACACGCAGAGGATCTCGGAGCAGGCACGCATTCGGAGCGACTCGAGCGATCACGTGATCAAACGCGGCAATCTTCGAACATTCCCGAGCGCGGTCTCGCGCGACCTTTTGTCGACTCCTGCTTGTGAATGTTTATATATGTAGGCGCGCGGTGACGTGTCTCCTGGGTCAATAAACAAAACATACCGAGTAAACGTAACGTTTCTTTTTCAATGAAAAATTGTGTTTACTAGATTTATATTTCATTGTCCGATTTCAATGTATATTCGCAGCACTGTTTTAGAATATCTCATATCTTTTGATACGTGTATGAATTTGAGAACAATAACAATTACTTTGAGAACTATAACAATTACAATCACACACAACAACGGTGACTTAATTTTACATTTAATTAACATTCGTCCTCGTTGTTTACAGAAGAGCTATGCGAATGAATTGAATGCAAAGTAGAACTCTTGTACGTCTCAGACAGTCAAGATAATGAGGAAAATTTTCATTCTGTTTGTTTCATTTGCGAGATCCTTATTACTACGATAATTAACTACGTTATGCGCGATGTTACAATTAAAATAAGTGTTTTAAACGCATGTAGCATGTGTAGGAAATGCGCTGGAGAATAGCGCTCTCTAGGTAGGTATGCGAACACACGTGCTTTGATCATCGATAAAGTAACATTGTGGCGCGGGAACTTCGAAATAATTATGCACTTTGAAAAAAATAGATTTTCTTATCTCCTTACTCTATAACGAAAAATACGATACCTGCTTTCAGATTTTAAAAAAGTATCGAAAGTAGACGAGAGTCCCGTGATTGTAAATATCAATGATTGCTATATATATAAAGACATTTCATAGGAATGGATAGTTAGTTTTTCTTTCAAACAGAAATATCTTCTTATAAATGTATTCCTACATTTTTAATATGTACGAAATATTATAATATAAACGCGCTCACGAGCAGAGTGAATTATTATGTTTAAATCTACCCGCGGATGTCATCACGATTATTAAATGAAAAGAAAAGACGTACGAAAAAACCTATTACCAAATGCTCAAAAATTTATTACGTCCTTTTATCTTTCAGATGGACTGCGCGGAAACATCGTTATTTGTTATCCCTAGAGGAAATATTTCTTAAGACAAGTACGATATCCTTTGGGAACAACACGAAGGAGGCAGTTCTGTGAAACAGGGAAAAAAGAGAGAGAAAGAGAAATCTCGAGATCATTATTAATTCCATAACTCACGAAAGGCAGGTGTGCACTCTCTTACCTTCGTATATTACTTTATACTCACATTCAGAATAAGATATGACTCTTGATTTCGTATCCAAAAACACATGTGATACCCTACTTTTGCCAGAAGGAACTGAATTCTTAAAAATTCTATTAAAAATGTATTCATTTTCAAAAACCGACAGATACTGATGTGAGCAGTAACAACGAGACTGCTTTCTTTCTTTTTGTCGTTTGTGATTATTACGAATATTAAATCATTCCGTCGAATGTAAAATATGAGAAAGGAAGCTACAATAAATTTGCTTACAGTTATGAATCTAGTTGACTCTCGACGTACACCGACTCGACTGACTGACCTTCAACGTTCGAGCACGGCTCGACACGTTAGTCCTATGAATTAATATGTATTTTACGTTGTATATACTCGTATATAATATCTATCAATTAAATAAATACTAATAATACACATAATAACATTACATCGATATGTGAGATCAAATGATTCACATAAAAATATTTCTACCCTTTTACATCAATTTTCCTCTTCCGAAAGAAAAATTTTCATATTTCTTTATCTCGTAAAAATGATATATGTTTCAAATTCTAAATTTCTCTAAGTTCACGAAAAGTAAATAATTCATTAGACACACATGTAAAAGGATTAACTTGCCTAGATTTTATCTTCACTAGCTATTTGAGAACTGCTAACGACTTTTCCCTTTGATTAGTGTTTTTTTTAACGCCGAAGGATCTTATCCTGAAATGCACCTGGTGTCGGAGTTATCGGTATCTTCCCATTTTATTTCATTAATATAATGTATACGATACTCTGCTTCCTATTTCGCGAGCATTTAACAGAGGAGAGGAGAGATTCCAACTACACACAAGGAACCATCCACCCCGCAGCGTGTTCACGCAAATCACGAGGAAAATCATGTTCAACAGAACGACGGCCGACGATAGAGACACGATAGAGACAGGATCGCAAAAGTATCTCGTGGGGACGCCTTATCCAGCCGATCACGATTGAGCCGGCTGGCTGCCTCTGGACGATGATGACGGCGCGATCTCGTCCTGATTGACCTCGGCCGGGAGTCTCTAATCCATGATTCCGCCGCGGTGATGTTGGGCCCTGATGTATCGGCGTCACGAGGGTTCGCGTTGCGTTGTCGTCAACGCTGTCAAGCCTCGGCGACGTGACGCGAGCACGCATCGGCCGTTTTCCCGGATGGCCCCCGCGGAAACCGGACACACAATGGAGCCATTTCCGGCGTGCGCAAGGCCAGAAGTCGGACGTGGGGACCCCACCTGTGTGAGGCCCACGCTCGCAAGCGCGTTATCCGCGCGCTCGCTGTCCCCTACGGGCCCCCTGTGGTGACTACGCGTCTATCACGAGTCATTCATCGGGTATCCACGATTTGCTCTTTGCCTGTCCTCCTCCGCCTCTCTCCACCTCCTCCGGGGCACAGACGGGTCTGGCCATTATTTCCACGCTTCCACGCCGATTTTGACCGTCAGTTTGATTACGGGTGCCAGTCGCAACGCACGCGCGATTTTGGCGTGCATACACACCTCCTTCACGCTTCTCTCGCACGATCACGAGGAACGTGAACGATCGCCGGCGTTCTACACATCAGGATCGTCGTCAGGATCCGCCGTCGGAAGCTTCGCCTTCCCTTCGACTACTACCGCGACCACGTCGACTGTGGGAGTTTGCGGAGGATTCGGGCGCAGCTGCTCTTGTGTGGGGTAAGACCTCTACCCTTCGGATCTCTACCCCTTTCTGATTAATTGATAAAGATGAATAATATTTCTCGCGCACAATCTTGGTGTCTCGGTTTTCCGAGAAGTTGTGGATTCTAATCGTAACTCTGCAGATTTTCCTTTTGAGGAAACACCATAGGCTTGGAGGATTGGCTTGCGCAAGAAGGGTGGATCTATCTCATCCGTTTTTTAACTTTTATACTCGCCACTAACTTCCATGAAGAGAATCCCTCTAATCACGAATACATTATTCGAGGTTAATTTCTGAGATTATAGAATTTTTTCAGTAATTTTCGCGGAGATAAGAAAAGTATATTCCGAGACGGCCACGGAACACTCGGTTCACACAGTCGTGCGTGTTGCACAGTCGGCATAAAATGACCGTCAGCACGCACCGACTGTGTAACTAACTGAAATCTTAATTGATTATTCCAACGACGCATTGCGTGGTAATTAACGCGTCGATGCGCTGCACGCGTGTGTATCGCTGTAATTACGGCGATTAGCCGCAGAAGATCTCGTTGCGCAATCGTAAGATGCGAGTGCAGTGATTTTCCGCGGAAAATCTTAGGCACGAGCGCGCACGATCGTACATATTCCATCGCGCTCGATAATATTTTCAATGCCGCTAGTAAATCCCGCGAATGACGCGTCTCTCGCTAAAGTATCGCCGGCACGAGCCCACGCGACCGTTCGTATTCATCGCGCCGCGCCGCGCCGCGCCGCGCCGCGCCGCGGCGGGCGGCCGCGCTCGCGCTCGAATTTAATTCGACGGAATTAGCATGGCGCATTACCAGATAATAATTTGTCGTTGCGTGCGAACGTTCCATTAACATCAACGTCACACAACAATGATCGAATTCATTCCCCGGTTCGACACGGGTACGCACGCAACAATGCCATCCGCCGTACCGACAGAGTTCAAAGCACCGCGACAATAGCTCCTGCTGGAAGCTCACAATGAAGCTGCCGTAGAAAGTGAGCTTCGAAAAGAAACGTGTGCGGGGTAAATCGCGTAAATCTCAATGCCGTTTTAATGGCGGTCTGTAAAGCACTTTCCGGATTTACCGAGACATCATTTCTACGGATATTTGCTCGTCGTCGACGTTTTCGTAATTTTAATGTGTGTATACATTACCGGAATTGTCCGAAAAATTAGGCGTATACGTGTGTGTATATATTTAAATTTGATATATATATATTTATAATTACGTATATCGCAAAACTTTGTCCAAAGGTAATACAGGCATAACAAAGAAATTAAATCAAGCAATTTCGAATCCCGCGAAACTCCAACGACCATTTCGTTCTCAACGTCATCTGGAAAACCACTTTACCGTAAGCCGAGCGCATTTTCGATCAGCAAGCACCTCTCTCTCTCTCTCTCTCTCTCTCTCTCTCTCTCTCTCTCGTGTCTAACGGCATGTTTAATTACCTTAATCTGAGTAATTCCCCGAAACAATTTGCATACGACGAGCGGCAAGTCATAAATCCAGTAATCCGGAGGGAACAATTACACGAATGTAATTTCGTGTGTGTGTGGTGTAATATTCCGGGAATTATAATCGTCGAACAGTCGTCATGATTTTCTCGCCGATGATATTAACATCGGTATAAGCTTTTATATCGTTGCCGGTGACAGACGCAATTACCGGGGCGATAAACCGTAACGCAATTAATAAGCAGTGTCGCGCTGCACGCTGGACACGACGGGAGACAATCGGCGGACGAGAGTATGGCCGTAGTAATTGGCACTCGTCACGACCAAGTAGGTGCGCTCGCGCCATCGCCGAGTAAACACCGAAATTACACCGATAATAAAATCGCTTTTATGATACATCGTCGATAGCGTAAACGCCCCGCTCTTCGTAACGTCGTCGTAAACGCGACCGCAAAATCTAGGAAATCACGGGAAATCGCGAGCCACTAAGGCGTGCGTTTCCTGTGCAACAATGCACTTGCGTCGTTTCCCGCGGATTTATCGGACCTACCCTGCGGCTGGTAGATTTTAATTTTCAGTAAGTAATTTTCATCGACGTTCCATTATTCGCGCATTCCATTGCTCCCGATACAACAGACGGCGGTGAAGGGAACGTTATTTTATACTCTCTGCACCGTCCCGACGACGTGACTTTCGACTCTCACGGCGTGGAGAAATATACGAAGCACCCGCGGCTTTGGGATTTATTTACGCTGCAGTAGATTAAATTTCGCGGCTTTTGAAGCTGGGACGTGCATAGCCAAGTCTGCGCGACGAAGGGAGTCTTTGGCCGAAGAGAGTGAAGATCGAAGCGCTCGTGTAACATCGGCAACGATTCGTTGTACCGTTTTCGATGATTGAACCCGACGCTCGCCTACGTCAGTCACGATAACCGGATAGATAATGACAACGGCTAATAATGTGATGGCTGAAAGTTGGAACCACGCTTCGTTGCTTTTACGGGCGTGTGCTGGTCCTTTCGCAGCCGTGTGCGTACGTGTGCGACCGTGCCAGGGGATGCGAGTGTGTGGAAATGTTCAGGGTGAGCGCTCGCCAGGAATCCCATAAACTCTACTACACACTGTTCCCTGCGCACTATCTCAGGCTACGTGGAAACGTCCACTGGCTAAAACAAATGCTTCTCGCTTCGTCTCCGTTTCGATTTTTCGCGTATCGCGTGGGTCTCTGTTTCTCTTCCCCTTATTCCCTCTTTTTCTATCTTTTTCTCCGTTATTTTTTTATCGCACGACAGACAGAAGCTAAATATGCTTATCGTGCCTGTCGCTGGCGGCGAGAGCTCGAGAGAAATATTGTCGCACGAGTTTGAGCACGAAGCACGGGAAATTTCATTGATCGATTTCTGCAGGCGCGTGCGACGCCACGGCCACGGCCACGGCACGGCGCGGCGCGGCGGGGCCGAAACAAACTCAGAATAACGAGCGACGTTTATTTCACTTTACCGAGTACACGCCGAGCTATCGATGGCGCTAATACTGCGTATGTAATTGAGAAGTTACGTCTCTCCTTCCGAAAGCGAAAACATTTCATTGTGTCCCTTTCGGCGTTTATCCAGCACGACGAGATAAAGACGCGTACGGGAAATGGCCGGCCTCGCGATGGGCTCATCGTCTAAATAATTCCATGATCTCTTGCATTCTTAAATTTCAATACAAGGCTACTCCTTAAAAGAGCATTCCTCTGCTCGCGTAAATTGAATTTCTCCTCTCTTTTCGAAGCGAGATGCGCATTCCCGGTCCGACTGCTCTGAATTTCTACCTCGTACAATTTTACAGAGCGCAAGGTGAAATAATTTAATATTGCGTCTGATGACGCACGTCCGGTAAAGTCATTGCAAGAAAAGTTCATTCAAATCACGGGCAACTTCTGACAGCGATTGATGCGCTCTCCGAAGCCAAGTGATTTAGTTTGATTTTCGCACGAAAAATGATTCATTTCATGACTCACTTGCAGATTTTCAGCAGCGATTGGCATGTACGCGACATAGCGATCTCTACCCTCGAATAACGCGATGTACAGGACTCACGGATTAATTAGCATGCTGCCGCTCGTCTGGGCGTTCGTCCTCTCGAACTTGTCGATCAACGGTAAGTCGACGATCGTCGAGTTGAAAATTGTCCAAATCGGGAGAGTGGGTGAAGATCGGTCGATTGGTCGGTTTCACCAAAAATGGATCTCGAGATGCGTGTTTGTGCAAATTCGCAATGGGAATGTTTGCGAAAAAATGCCGAGCCTTCGTCCGGCAACGCGATTCCGGTATCGCGTGCTATACCGCTATGTTATAAAAATGTCCCGCGCGTTGCGTTCGGTATTCGCTGTTTGCGTGGCACTAGGCAAAATAGTTCCGCGAACGTGCCGGCGCAAAAGTCGAGGAATACATTGTCGGTGAAACGATGTCATGTGTACTTGCGAAACTGTTGCCCGGCATTGTGTCGTTATCCGTGCCACTTATGGCGCGAAAATAAAATCGCGCTGATAAAATCGAAGCGCTAGTTCGCGCTCCGAAGGCTCCGGCGCTCTGGCGCAGAGGAAGTAGCCTGGAATTTTACGCGACAAGGAAACAATAATCGCGCGCGCGCGCGCGCGCACGCGAGACAATGCGTGAGGCAAAATCGCCGATCGACCGATCCCCGTGCGCGTTGACCGCGCGCTAATGAGAAAATCGTTAAAGTTTCAGCACAGACCACCTGTAACGGCGGTTTGGGTAGGGTTGTATACGAGAGACTGCCAGATCAACAGCTGCAAGGGTTCGACGACGATGTGGTAACGTCGCGTTTTGAAAATCAGCTTCGGGATCAGCTTCGACCACGTCGCACACGCCGACGATGCGTTTCATAGTCTCGATTTTCCACCTCAACCGCCTCTATCGCCGCGAGCAAAATCTCCCCTGCAATCGCCGGGCGTTCGTTATTCCCCGGGAATTTTTCAGCCTTTTCAGCAGAGAAATTATAATTCCCGACTATCTCGCCAACGTAACCGAGACACTGTCGGTGTCCCTTTCGGCGCGCTTTAAACGGCGTGATTCTTCTTTCGTTTCCCGATGTTCAGTCGCGCGACGATTTCGCAAGGTGATCGTCGCGCGGGGAGAACAATTGCACGATGAATACGCGAAATGTATTCGACGTTTAAAGAATTCCGGCTTACGACAGGTGAGAGACTCGGCGCCTCCGTTTAGGGTTCTGGAAAAGTGTCAAGAGCTCTGTCTGCGCGACAGAACGGCGACGAACAACCTGGTCCGAGCGTGTACGAGCTTTGACTTCCAGCCTGGTAGCAGAATTGCGTCCTTCAGCGGCGCCGCCGAGTACGAAGAGAGTACTTGCTATTTAACGAGGGAACAGGCCCAGCCAGAGGGCATCGGAAATCTCATGCTCGTACCGAATAGCGTGCACTTCACTGAAGTGTGCCTGGCATGTGAGTATCTGCACGCGGACAGAGAAAAGATATCGCGTAGCGCGCCGCGCTGTATTAATTGTGACACCGGCCGCGTCGGCGAAGAAAGAAAGCCCGGAGCGACTTTTTTCTAGACTGGCGATAAAATTTGCAAGCGGCTGATTGCCAGCGAAGGCACTGAAGACGATAAAATCTTAAATGTTAAATCCCGCTGACGTTCCTCCGGAGGACTTTAAGTTACTCGTATAACTCGTTTCGTCCTCTCCTTTGAAGACGCACTGTCGAAACGTGCGCGACGTTCACTCGTTTGTCACTCATTGTCACTCGAGCAATTAGCAAGAGAGAATCGCTGTTCTCAGCCGACAGGATAGAGAGGGAGTGTCCGAATCGCCGCTACGTGTTCGAGCGGCATCCGAGGAAGAAACTGAAATTACCCCTGACGGATATCAAGGAGGTCAGCGCCGCTAATAGAACCGACTGTGAGGACAGGTAACGCACCGCACGGCAATTGCAAATTCGTATGTGCATTGTGGAAGGGATAACACGTTTGGACCCTCTCTGTGCAGATGCCTGAATGAGTTCAGCTTCGTCTGCCGATCGGCGACGTACGACACTGCCCTAAGAAGTTGCTCCCTCAGTCGTTTCACCCGAAGGACTCATCCCGAGCTACTGGAGGACGACCCGAATTCCGACTACTTGGAGAATACCTGTCTCAATGGTACGTTTCCTGCGTTAAACAATTTTCCGTGAAACTTTTCACGGTCCAAAGTGATCTCGCTTGCATGAGAAAACGAGAGAGAGAGAGAGAGAGAGAGAGAGAGAGAGAGAGAGAGAGAGAATTTCTCGCCAAGGGAGGACTCATGCAAACCGACGTAACTTTATCTCGCGTAAGCAGCCGTTTTTAATATTTCATCAGCGGAACGACGATGCGACGGACTCGCAGTATTCGTCAAAGAGGAGAACAAGCGTCTACGGGGCCCGTTCGAGGTGGATATATACACAAATCTCACGTTAGACGAGTGTCAGGCATTATGCCTGAGAGCGGAGAAGTACTTCTGTCGCAGCGTCGAGTTCGACGAGCAGACTCGACAGTGCGTTATATCCGAGGAGGATTCCGTCTCGCAGAAGGACGACATCGGCATTAGCAGCAGCCCCAGTCATCACTTTTACGATTTGGTGTGCTTAGATAATCGTGAGTACGCGCGTAATCGAGATCTCGAGATCTTCGTTCTTCCACTTCCCAGTCCGCTTCGCAGTCGTGAAATCTGTATTGTCGTTTCACATTTCATCAGAAACTTGATTCTTTCACGACGACTTTCAAATAAAGTGGATGTTTCACACATCAAGCCCCTGGCAAGCATATTTCTGATAAATTGCACAAGTTTGTGCGCTATTAATCGAATCTTCAGCTTGAATCGGAAGGGCGTCTACGCTCAGTTCCACGGAGCATTCTATTACAATTCATTACTGCAACGCGCGGGAGACGCGCAAGAGACATCATTGAGACGACGGTCGATCCGCGACTCACAACTCGTTATCAATGCCCACTTACGAAGCGTAGATCCGTCCTTAGCGCGTGGCTCGGAATACCCGGACAGCAGTTCGACGTCTCACCTGTTCTCCGACGGACGTCGGCCCGACACGGCTTTCCAGCGTTATCGGAACTCGCGGCTGAGCGGTGAGTTCCACTCGGAGATCACCGGACGCAGTCTCAGCGAGTGCCTGGACGAGTGCCTTCGACAGACGAGCTTCCAGTGTCGCAGTGCCGTCTACTCTGAGCACTATCATATCTGTCGACTGAGTCGGTTCAACCAGCGGGACGGCCACAGGATCATCTACGACGCCGATTATGACTACTATGAGAATCTCATGCGTGAGCATCGAACATTCTTCCTCATCTTCATTCTTCTCTGATTCCCCACCAAGTCTCCAAGTCTTCAAACGAGCCCCTTCTTGTTTCTCGAGCTACTGTCAATTGATATTCCGCGTTTCAGCGCGTATCGCTGACAATAATTTTGCGTCTTTGATTGAAATTTCGTTGAAACTCCCAGTGGGTTGCAAACACTGGTTGCTCTTCACATATCGTACGTTGTAAGTTAAATGTTTACTTTAACAACACACAACTATGCCGACAGATCAATATCTGGAGGGTGATCGCGATAGTCCTGGATACAGACCAGATCCTTTGGGACAGGACACAAACTTCGGACGACCCTCTCTAGGAAGACCGGGTTAGAATCTCTTTATTAATTCAACATAATGTCGTGCGTCAACCCGTTGTTTAGAGTCGCACAATTATTCATAGACCTGCCGAGTAACCACGCAGACGAGTCAGTCTAATGGAATAGGATCTTGAGAGAACACATGTAGCCACGACGTCTCTTGTCGTTCGGGTTCGGGACAACGAACTAACTTACAAAACTAATTATTTGTTCGAAACTAACGCATTTCAAAGTTAACTCAGATCCACGCTCGTATGTGTGCATGTAGCGTTAAGCGCAGCAATCTGTGATTCTGATGTTTATTTCTTCCATCATACGATTATACGTTCGATTTCGAGACGCAAGAGCTTTCGTCATGTTACTCGAAAACAGTAAACATTTCACGCGGTATGTAACTGCAATTCACCGACGCCGGACATGATTTCTAGTCTTGCTTAATCTGCAATTTCCAGGCTATTCGGACGATTACGATAAAGGATACCCGGGCAGCGCAAAGCCAGATCGATTTCCCGATCGTGTTCCTGATCGTTATCCAGATCGTTATCCAGATCGTTATCCAGACCGTTACCCGGATCGTTACCCGGATCGTTATCCCGACCGCTATCCGGATCGATATCCCGACCGTTATCCAGATCGTTATCCTGATCGCCATCCTTTACCAGCCGATCGATATCCAGATAACAGGTATCCTTTAGGCGAATCGGACAATTACCCGGACCGATATCCTCTCGGCGACCGATATCCCGACAGATATCCCGGTGGAGATCGTTATCCCGCTGGAGATCGTTATCCTACGGCGGATCGTTATCCTTCCTCGGATCGTTATCCAGCCGGTGATCGTTACCCAATTTCGGATCGATATCCGATATCCGATCGATATCCTATCAGAGGTGGAGATCGTACTCCCGCAGATAGATATCCCATTCCCGATCCTGGAACTTTGGACAGATATCCTACAACCGGCAGGTATCCTATTGTGATACATGGTGTCCGATATCCATTAACACCGAGTCGATATCCCACTGACGTCACCGATCGATACCCCAATATGATCGACCGGTATCCTTTCGCTGACGATTCGCTGGACCGATATCCTTCGGGATTAGGTGGTGGCAGGACTCCCACTGATCGGTATCCAGCTACTGAGAGATATCCTGATGCGAAGGATCCTTATGCGAATCGGTAAGTCGCGAGATTAAAGAATTATTTATGTTCTATCTAATGTTCTATCCAACTTATTTCATGTATCAGTGTATATTTTAATAATGCGCTATATTGGAATATCTTTCGATAATTATTTACTTGGATTATTATTACTTGAAATAATTTTTCAAAGCCGTTATATATATTAATATGTCTCTCGGATATTAATTCATTTTACGAATAAATGTCACAGTTGACTTGTCATCTCTTTATCGATCTGTTGAGAAAACATGCCATTCCCATCATGCTTCTATAATTTTTACCCGAGAATCGTTTTCAATTTCACAATTTCAAAATTTCACTGTTTCGCGACGAGTGAAGAAAAATTATGACATATCGAATTAAAAAAAAAAACAGCAGGTATCCGCCGCCAGGGCAAGGGGTATATTCGCACGGATTCATCGACGAGATTCGCGGTCCTCAAAGCCACGGTGCCGATCGGCCTCACTACGCAGGAGGAGGATCTTACGGTCCAGCTCGGCCCGTCGGAGGATACGGAGGATACGGTGGCGACGGGGGCGGTATCGTAGGTGGCGGATACATAGGCGAAGGTGGTGTCTACAATTCGCGTCCGTTTGGAACCGCCGGAGGGCCCATCATAGGCAGACCTCCGTTGGTATCTAGGTGTGATGAACAAGACAATTTCAGGCAAGTCGGACCTCACACCAGAGTGAGGAAGCCATTCGTCAGACGATACACCACCGCCTCATCGTTGGCCCAGTGCGAGAGGGAATGTGCGGACGCTAGAGACTTTGTTTGCAGGTAATGATAATGACCGAACTTACAGAAATGGGCAAAGAGGGTTAGAAAATGGTAAAACAAATGGTAGAACGAATTTATATACTGACTATGTGCCAAACTAATATTTCACTCGAGACATATCCTCGGTATAAAGTAACAAGGTCCTCTTTCTCCTTTCTTTCCTCTTTTTTCTTTTCAATAAAATAGTTTCTGACTACGAATTATCTTCGACATCGAATGATTGTTGAGTCAATTTGAATAAATGATAATCAATTGACAGAAAATCTTTTAATGTATAAAAAAAATTCGATAGTCAAATATGTAACACTGTTAGTGCAAAAATTGTTAGCCTGTAAAGCTGAAAAACAAACGGAAGAGTAAACTGTACGAGACACGAATGTCATTTTCCAAAAATATTCCACTAACGGCGATTATCATGATGGAGTTTCGATAGCTAGTTGAGGATAATCACGAGCCGGGCAAGCTCGAAATTGAATCAACAGTAATCCAACACCGTTTGTTTGCGCAATCGATCAGACGCTCGCAAATTCCCGATGCCATTTGCAGGTCCTTCAATTACCGGCCGTACGCCGCACCTTACGGAGCCGAGAGGGACAACTGCGAGCTCAGCGACCGGGACTCCAGGGACATGGACATGGGCAACCCGGTTTATTACGACACGGGCTCCGATTACGACTTCTACGAGAGGAACAACGGTCGTCAAGGCGCGGACGGGGAATGTCTGGACGGTAAGCGCCGAGTTCGTCCGTGGGCGCGGAAAGCAGAGCCGGGAGAGACGCGAAGCGCGCTAGAGGATTAGAAACCACGGTAGAACGAGATAGAAAATACATCCGAAATGAAAAAATAAAATTTTTCCAAATTTTCCACGTTGACCGTATCATGGGAGATTCTCGAATTCGTCCCTGTCTAGACTATTAATGTCCCTGTCTAGACCGTTATTAATGTTAACGACTAGACTAGAGAAGAATGATTTTAAAATCATCGAAAGAATAATTTGAAACCATCTCTTTCGACAAGTTAAATATTCGTTACAGTTATTTTAGATAATGAATATACTCATAGTACACACACACACATACGTCCGTTTTCTATTGATCTCTTCTAGCACGCACGATAATATAATGTTAGTTTAGTCTCTACCTGGATTCTTAATATCTTACTTACGTATTGTTCACACTACTTATTGTATATACAAGTTTGCATGATTGTCACAGGACTTCAACCTTATCAAATAAATCTAATGCTATCCGTATCTTTTCTTTATCTACACTTCTTCGATGAATATCTCACACGTAGCACGTGTGCCACCGATGTAATACCTACCTACACAACAACACAACCTACACCACGAGGTATGCCGACACTATCTAATAACTATCCTCGATTAGCGCTATCCTGACCTTTCTAAATCCTAACAACAATGTAAGTACAATCGGCGATGTATTTAACACGTTCGTGTATATCTTTGTAGTGCATATATTGTAGATTCATATATTACGATCCTAGCGGCCGTTAATCCCCTTTATTTTTAACCGTTGATTTCGGCTTACACACAATTAATTAATCCTACGTTCTGATCGCGCCTCCCTTTTGGATTGACATTTTCCGAAAACTGCGCTCGCGTTAGACACCGGTGAATTACACACTCTCTTGCACTTCTAGTGAGTCAAGTCTGTAGCGAGGACGGAATGGAATTCACCCTGAGGACACCGGAGGGATTCATTGGGCGAATTTACACGTACGGATACTACGATCGATGTTTCTTCCGCGGGAATGGCGGGACCGTGAACGTACTTCGCATCAGCGGACCTCAGGGATATCCGGAGTGCGGCACACAGCGAGTAAGAATGGCAATTTTACTTAACAGATTGGCTCATAAATAAAGCTCCAATTTCATTCGCACTAGACATTTTCGCTATCGCGTGTATGCAACGATAGTCCAAAACTGCGAAGTTCTCTCAGAAATCTGATCGACTCAAGAAGACTCGGAGATCTCGAAGACGAGAGGGACGACCTTAATTAGACATTGAAAATACCGAATTACTTTGTTTTAATTATTTTATAGAAAGAAATTATAGAAAGTAATTGTATAGAAATGATATATCAACGCGAAAAGGACATATCTCGCATTTTATATTCTTATTCGTGCGTCGTAAAGCGCAAAGAGTACAATCGTCATCTTTTCCGACGACATTTTGGACAAACCGGTTGTGATAAAATCATTTTGACGACGGATGATTGCAGTATGGCGATACGATGACGAACATCGTGGTGGTGCAATTTTCGGACTACGTGCAAACCGGGCGGGACAAGCGATTCAACCTGACGTGCCTATTTCGAGGCCCTGGAGAAGCTGTCGTCACATCCGGCTACATCGGTGCCGGGTATGCCAGGTCATATCGATCGAGAGGTCGTGTCTTGCACCAAAAGTACGGTCTTTAACGCGCTAAGCGCCATACAAATTTCCAAAAAAGTCAAATTCCGTAAATATCGGAGAATCTTCGGGCATAGAAATCGGTTCCAGAAACAATTAGCAATCATGCCTTGATGATGCTTCGTTGTACGCGTGATGTACTCGATTTTCTCGAGTTACGTAAAATTCTACGTAAAGTTTCGCAAAATTCTCTTTCCGGCGAAATGTATCGTTTAATATTCGCCACGTATAAAGATTGTTTCCGCTCCGCAATTGTTGAGCGACACCGTTCCGGCCAATGGCTTATCCCGGGCTTTCCTTGCTTATTAACTTTTTTTACTTTAACGCGAACCCATGTATGATGCTTAGCGGGTTACCGCGTGCGGAATAAAATCGTTCTGCTTTCCGTACGCGAATTTATTCGTACGTATATAGGTGCAAGCACGCTCGTGCAATTTCTTTTATCACACCCGAATCAGTCCCGAATCAGTCTGTTGAGAACGAGATGCACGTTCCATTTCTCGTGCGCGACTGCCTATTTCTCACATTATCATAAATCGCATACAATAAACGCGCCACACGCGAATTCAAATTTGTATTTGTATCCAAGACCCTCTGCTTCGATATGACTTTTCACGATAAATGCACCGACAGTTAAATTGGCTTCAGCATTAAAAGTTCAGCATGTATCTGGCTAGAGGGCTGGGGTGCTCGTATTATCTCAATTAGCAAAATTGGAATTTCAAATAAGACTAACAAAGTTTTACGCCGCCGGCATCGCCTTTTGTACCTTACCATTATCACTCGATAATTTCAAGTAATCCCAATTTCACTAATGGGACTCGTATGTACTCTGTGCAGATCAGGGTCTCCTATCCCCATCGAATACCTCCCAGCGGAAAACACCCTGAGTTCCAGAGTACGTTTGCTGATCCTCTATCAGGGAAGACCCACGACCACTATCGCGGTCGGTGATCCCCTCACTTTCCGACTCGAGGCTCAAGATGGGTAATCTTTGTCTTGCTATGTTTTAACACTGACTTGTTGTGTGCAAACGGCAAAACTAAACTTTAAAAGCGACAAAGTTTGATAAAAAGTAACGTAGCTTTCCCGCGAAATTACGACATGCACCGCTGCGTGCGTATCATCGTCTGGATAATTCCGTCGATTTCAAGTTGTCGCGTGTCTCGACATCTCATGATCGCAGCTCATTACTTTCTACAGATACAATTACGTGACGGATATATTTGCCACCAACGTCATCGCGAGAGACCCTTACTCCGGCAGAAGCGTGCAACTCATCGACAGATACGGGTAAGAAAGTATAAATCTCTCGGATCAAAATCAAATCCCTCTCTCTCTCTCTCTCAGGAGAATTAAATCCCGCAAATATCAATCTCGTGCAAAGAGCGATAAGTGCCCGTTATGACAAACAACATTACTGATATTTGGAAATTAACGATTTATATGTCCTATATCTACTTTAATTTCTCTTTCTCCTCTTTTCCATTTGGAATAGCGAAGCACGACTATAATCACGAACTCAATGTCAATTTTACCGTAGCGAAATAAAATCACTTTCGCAGACGATCGTTCTCGAGGACACTTCACATGCGCGTAACTCGAGCGGAAATGTTCACAGCTGTCCAGTAGACAACTACGTGTTCCCAGGACTGGATCGTCTCCGTGACGGCGACAGTCTCGAGGCCCGCTTCAACGCCTTCAAAATACCCGAATCAAATTTCCTGGTGTTCGAGGCGAACGTGCGGACATGCCGCGACGGCTGCCAGCCGGCATATTGCTCCGGAGGTACCGGCAGAAGCGAACCCTCCTTCGGCAGGCGGCGGAGAGACATAAATAACGACACGGTAGCGGATGAGGACGAAATGTCGCCGATAACCGTGATGGACGGTGACGTTAACAACGCGACGATTTTGAACGCGACCGGCGCCGCGGACGATGAGCCGGAGGACGAAGAGGAGGAAGAGCACGTCAGAGAAATGATAGAGGTAGATCGTTTTCATTTCGATGCTCGCGGAGAACGAAAAGAATCGTCCGTGTCGTCTATCGTCTCTACTCTACGAGCGAGACTGAAAAAAGTATAAATCGTATAAATTTCCGCGATATTTTCTGCGCAGGTTCTTGATTCGCGAATGGACATCGAGGAAGAGAGTGCGGTTGAAAAACAAACTAGGATCCTGGAAAATATTTGCGTTACTCAGAATGAATACTACGGGTTAGTCACAGCGGTCGGAATTCTCGTCGTGCTCTTGGCCTCCGTCGTTTTCTTGTCTATGCTCGTTTACAGGTAAATTGTCATCCCATATCTGGTTAGGGAATTCGTTTTCGTTTACCGCTTTATAATCTGGCAAATCTAACGAGTTTGCCATCGATATCGCTTCTAACTTTCGCAAATCGCACGTATCATTACTCCGTTATGAAAGTTCAAAGTGTCTCGTTATTTTAGGAAATACGTTTACGCCGTAATTATGAAAAATCGTAGACTCGATAAAACTTGTAACCGTAGTAGCCGCTCCGACGAGCCCTACAGCAGTCGAGTTAATAATTTCTCGTTTATGAGAGCCGGTCTTCAGAAACCATTTCAAGCCTCGTAAGTAACTAAAAGAAACTGACATTTTTACTTGCGAATTATTAGATATTGATAGAGATTTAAATTTCAGCTTTATTCTTTAAGCTTTTACCTTACTTATTACTTATTACGTCTACGCCTCTAAGCTTTTACTTTATTTATTCGTATATTTAATAATATACGAATTTAAATAATAATTCGCGATAAAAATATAAGAGATGCTCCTGTGTAACTAGATCGATCTCGAGATCAATGAGCAACGTGATCAGCCAACGTCTAGCCTCGTCGTCCACCGCTTTAGAAGGTGCAGTGGGATTATCAGTAAGTCGACGCGGTGACTTCGATCCGAGCGAGCCCATTTATACCGACCCTTCGCTCTTCGAGGTAACCCGCTGCACAAACGCTGCGAAGTCGGCCCTCAACGACAACTTTCATCTTATGTAAGACGAAGACGCGAGATGATCGATCTTCAAATTTGCATACTAGCGAGCGATGTGTATTCTATTTATTTACTTTAACCGACGCGCATACGAAATTGACTAACAAATTCACGATGAACCGGCATCTACTGCAATTCATTTTACCACTACTAGTCAATAATCCCCTGCCAGTACTACCACTAATCACGATTGCTACATATTTTTAAATAACTGTTTGAAATTTCAATTATATATATATATATATATATATATATATATATATAAATCGAGTCTCTATTATCTCTTTGAAAATATGATTTAATTTGGAATTCACGTTTATAGTTGAAGAATTAAAGATTCTTCTTCCTAAAAATATTTCTCAAAATAGCTGCAAAATAACTCATAATATAGCAATATAGCAATCTAAATTTTAAATCATCACAAGGATAAAATATCTCTCTCAAAATACAAAGCGGACTAGACTAATAATGTGGTATATCTAATTCTTAGTTTCATTTGATGTATCTTATGAAACGTATCTAACGAATATTTCTTTTTCTTTCTTTTCTTCTCTTATTTCTTATTTTCTTTTTTTCTTTTTTTAAGTCTGTGGAATAGTAATATGTTGGAAAGAATGCTTGATATTATGATAACAGACGAGCTCTCGTGTATATCTTTTTACTTTATTCGCGACCGTCTCCAACGTACATTGGAGCATAAATATCGAAATATTTTTCTTTTCTTACTATTCTTAAAATTTTCTCGGTCCTTTTCATCAAATTTGCTTCCAACAAAAGTCGCGATCTCGCAACGTTCGCATCACCAATCAGATAATATATCGTATAATGTAATAGTTATTACTTATTACTAAGTAAAAACGACTAGGAAGTACATATTTATTACGATTGTACTCTAATCGTGCATTCATAAGAAATAAATGGACATTATACACAAGACAGTTTCATTTGTTACTCACATAACCTATTCGTCTCGCTCTTAACAAAAATAAAAAAAAATAATGTGGACTCACGTGCATATATTATCCGGTTCCCATCATTCCTATTTGACTCTGTCCACTTTGTAAGTAAAGAGCAGCATCCTAAGCCGTGCCTCTTCCTTACGGTAGTGAGCTTCCTCCAACTTGATCCTTGCCTCCTCCTTCAGCATCGCGGCGATGTCGACCTTCATCTGCGCCTCGGAGAGCGCAAGCATATGCAACTCTTCCTCTCGTTGCGCGGATTTTCTCTTGCGATTATACTGATGCATGACGGAGGATGATGTTAAGATGTGCGAAGTATTCGATCCCGAATTTACGTGACCTTTCTCGAGGGCATCGTCCGCCGATTGGTTAACTGTAAGCGAATCGGCGTTTGTTTTCACCGATTTCTCTTGACAATCAACTATCGGGCCGTAAGATGCAATGAAAGTGTCACATTTGTTTCCATCAGCGATCGTTTGCTTGAACATATCGCCATCTGTACAAAAGCAGAAATTGAATAAGCACGATTTTTAATTATTCCGATAAAATTCTCCGATAAAATTACTCGATAAAAGATATATTGATCTTTCTATTTATGTCAAATATATTTTCGTCTTTAATTAATCCCAAAATATTATATAAGACAACTTTAATTTTAAAATTATTCGATACATAAATTGATGACAATTTGTTTCATAAAGACACACAATTCGTCGCATTTGTCCACGTTAATATTGAATTGCAGTTAACTTTAATCACGGAAGATCCATCTCTCTTGACTCTTTAGTTCGTTGTTACGGCGATTAAATATACGAGGGAGGGTGGTATAAGCTTACTTACAACTCATGTCTCGGCAACTATCTGCATCCTTTGAACAGCTCGGCTTCTGAAACCTCGTGGTGCAAACGCTTTGCAATGTGAACGGCTCGGAATCCGTTGGCTCGAATAACACATTCGGTGGCAATCCAACTGTTCCAGTAGATTTTGGCGCTTCCAATTCTGTATTCTGACTGCAAGTTGCAACTTCCCAGCATTGACTCCTCCCCAGAGTCTCATCTTTCGTCGATTGACAAACCGCTTTCGCACTGTAGTTTAAAAGGAGGAACTTAGATATTCATCTCTCTCCCATATGCATCTTTTTTTCTTTACAAATATATATAGATATATCTTCATTCTATCGCGTATATGTTTTTCTGTTTCACAACCTCTCGTCATTTTCTCACGAGAAAAATCTCTCCAAATTTTGTAAACGCTCAAAACAAGATTATCAGGCAACAACATTCAATATTCAAGATTCGAGATTCGACAACGCCCAAAATTATGCCGTTTCGCAAAGCAAATCCTTACCGGGATTTCTTCTCTTCGCGATTACGCTTGCATGCTTTCATATTTTCCCAGCAACGTCTGAGCTGCACCGCAGATCGTGCAGCTTGAGGTCCCACCAACGAATTGTACTCCTCGGCAACCAGTGACCAGGCTGACCTCCGTTTACATATGGACACGGAATCTGACTTTCTGCCTTCGATGATTTCGTATTTGTTTATCAGTGATATAAGAATTCTGCGCTCCTCGAAGCTGTACGTTTTGCGAGTGCCTTTCAAAGACGTGGATGCCATTTTATCACGGGAGTATCATGTCGTCGATTGTTTCGCTCCCGATGCGTTTTCCTTGATTTTAAGCCTTGTTCAGATCAACCTTCGTTAGTATCTCATAAGATCTTCGATTTGTACAAATTCCGAATCCCAAAATCTGAGGTTCAATTTGCACAAATACTAACAACATTACTGTAGATACAATTCTAAATTATGGTCAGTATGATTGTAAGTTAGAAACACGGGAGGTTTTTGGTATTTACTGAATTTTTTAACATTTTTCGATAAAGTAAACCCTTTCAATTGCAAAAAAATAATGGAGGATAACAAAAGATCGTAAAAATAGAAATATTGTGTATGTAACTGAATGAAGATAAATTTATATATTATGTAAAAATATTGATCCAATTCTTCTTACCTTTCTCGGAAATGGGAGCAAGGAGCATAATTCCGCGCATATACAAGCGGACGGAATCTTACGCGTTACGACTAGAGACATCGACGAGGTACATTAGTACTGATGCTGCCATCTCTCGGGCGCTCATAAAACTTCAACACATTCGATTGCGTACCAGAGAGCGTACTAAGGCCGTGTTCCGAAATTCACTCCCAGTATTGAAAATATAAAATATGTTTGTGTCACGCAAACTACAAATTTTCAGCGCACTGGCAATCGCGAATATCGGAACGTAGCCTATATAACACGCTGTTCAAATATATGCATACGATTCGTACGCGCATTATACTTTGCCTACTTGTTTCAAGTTTGTGCTATTTCTCTTATATTCTACAGAATATATCGGTCGCTATATATTTGATTGAAATGCACGAGTAAAGTATCCAGATGCAAGAATCGCAGATGCATTATCTGCTGTATTCTCTATTTTGTCGCTCGATTTTTTAATTTCATTATTCCTCCTAATTGGCTGTAAAAGTCACTTTTATTGATGAAAGAAAAAGTTCGGAATATAATCCATAATATATAGAAATGCATACATTCTCGTATACTTTTGCAAGCGCTTTTGCAACTGTTTAAACAAATAAATCTCAAGGGCAGATGGCGGCAGCTGACGTGAAGGTCGCTGAAGCGCTTGACGTCGTTCAAAACATTCGAGATGTGGATGCCGTCATCCGTGGAGACTGTCTCCTAATCGTCAGTTTATATATACGGCAGATATATCGTGCGAATAACGTCGTATAAAATGAAACGGTATGTTTCATTCGGCGCGACTTCTTAGCGGGCTGCTCATTCTGCTACCGTCAATCGCGCTGTGTGATGGCGCGAATTACACGTACGAGGTTGACTGTAATAACTTACGAATGGGACAGTACATCTGTCCGCATCCCGATTACGATTTCATAGACTTAAAGACGCAACAACCGCGTGGATGCACGAAAGAAAACAAAGCCAAAGGTAGTATTTGCGAAAATATCCGAGCTCGATTTTGCAACGAAGAATCTCAACCTCATCTTGATCTTCTCTTAACCTCCATTCCATCCGTCAAACATTCTGTTTGAGTTTGATAATTTTACGTACACTGTATAAAAAATAACTGAGATGACTGTATGTCCAAGTTTTGAAAGAGACAGAATGTTGAAAGTACAATTGAAACAAATAGATCTTAATTTTATTTACATTATCAAGTGCTGTAACATTGCGTTTACCTTCATATTGTTGTGCAATGAAAAATAGATCTTTAAAGCATACAGATGAACATTTTATTTTATTCACAATTCCTGTGGCTTTTTCCCTATGTTAAAGAAAATGCTTTAATGCACACAAGCAAAGATTTTGTTCGAAACTAAAGCTTATAATTTTATCAGTGTTATGTTTAGCTGCTGATGGCCTCATCTGTATAGAAACAAAAAATAATACCTTCAAGAAGGATATACCTTGCAAATGGACGTAAGTATATATATGATTATAAACGTATTAAGATTTTAAATATAAAATATCTATAATGAAAAATGGTGATAGAAATATTAAAATAAAATTTGCAAAAGAAAATATAGAATATTTTTGTATTTTCATCCAAGTTTTGATATGTTGAAAATAGGCAAGTTATTGTTATAATTATTATTTTCAGGAATGGATACTCCTTTGAAACATCTTTACTGCTATCTATATTTCTTGGCATGTTTGGCGCAGATCGATTTTACCTTGGATATCCAGCCCTAGGCTTACTCAAATTAAGCACGCTCGGATTCCTCTTTCTTGGTCAATTTGCTGATGTAATACTGATAGCTACGCAGATTGTAGGACCAGCGGATGGCTCCCACTATGTGATGCCATATTACGGTGCTGGAATTAAGATTATAACCAACAACAACTTCACGTACAGAGTGCCACAATATGACTGCTGAGAAAATAACAAATCCAGCACATATATGACAAACGATTGTTCTAAAAATTGTATATGCCTCTACTTTCTTGTCGCGAGCAACGATGTACAATCCTAGGATCGAATCCTATTTCGGTACACTTGGATGTAAAGAGTCTCTATGTTACTTTAATGAATAAGCTTAATGTTAATCTTGTAGATAATATACTTCAACGAAATGTTGTATATAGACATTTATTACTTATTTACGTGTTGCCAGCTGATATAATTCAATAATAAACATTTTTTTCTATATGTCTTATTTCAGAATGCCACTAAATCAATTTAAAGCTGACAGTACCGTTTTTATATTGATGGTTTTAAAAACTATCGTGTTTAACTCCGAGTCAATACCCATAATTAGCTTATTACTTTTTCAGCAGTAAGAAAACGAGATTATCGCAACGCATTTCTTTCATGAAGTAAAAAATTATGTCACGAATAAACACTGCGGGCATAAGGTAAAATATCTTGACGAGATGGATATTACTGAAGAGGATAAACATAATATAAAATTACACCATAAATATATAGATAAAATAATAATTTATTATAATTATTTCTAATGTTTGTTTTTCAATCTCTGAGGTAGTTTTTAAAGTCATGAATAAGTTATGTAATTAAAATGATAAAATTATTTTCTGTGTATAGATATAGAAAAATATGTAAGAGAGAAAGAGAGAGAATTATCCTATAAAACCCAGGAAAATAAGAACCATTAATATCTACATTGATCACAGCTGTATCAAAAACAGTCTACATATTCTAAATTTTGAGTGACGTAGACAACATTTGAATTACATATTCTCTTTTTCTTGTTCGTTAACGAGCGTATAATAAACGCCTTTTCGGTCAATTAGTTCCGAATGTGAGCCAATCTAAAAAAAAAATAAAATACATTTGTATATTATTTAATAGTGGTATCACATTAATTCGTTTTTTATAAAATCATACCTCCGCAATTACTCCGCGTTGTAATACGACGATTATATCAGCACCTTTAATGGTACTCAATCTATGAGCAATCACCAATACCGTTCTACCTTTTGTGACATTTTCGATAGCTTTTTGAACGACCCTCTCGCTCTCGTAATCCAATGCACTATACATAAGAAATGTAGGTGAGCAATAATAAGTAAAAAAGGAAATTCATTATTTATACCTTGTAGCTTCATCGAGAATTAAAACGGATGGCTGTTTTAGTAGAGCTCTGGCAATAGCAACTCGTTGCTTTTGTCCACCTGAAAGCTGCGCGCCTCTTTCGCCGACTTCGGTCGCATATCCATCCGGGAACTTGATTATAAAATCATGTGCATTCGCTTCTTTAGCTGCCTCAACAACCTGGATTGATTGAGGGATATAATAGAGAGATATAGTATGAAACACATTGCAAAAAGAAAAAAAATAAATAGCAGCAACATTGCTATCGATTCTTATATGCTCACTTCTTCATCTGTCGCGTCTTGCTTCCCGTATCTAATGTTTTCCATAATGCTGGTGGCGAATAGAGTAGGTTCTTGGTTTATAAAGCCTAAAACACTGCCTCTGAGGTAGCTCGAGTTGAGCGATTTGATATCTCGACCGTCGATAGTAATAGAACCCTCATCCACGTCATAAAATCTAAAATTCCATGCACAAGTTCCATGAGATCTGGAATAAACTTCATGCGGTGTTACGAAAGCTTATCGTACCTTTCTAATAATGCAGCTACAGTCGATTTACCATTACCGCTGGTACCGACAATAGCCACTGTTTTTCCAGCAGGAATATGTAAATTGAAGTCCTTCAAGATAATATGATCAGACCTGGTAGGATAGCTAAATTTCACGTTTTTGAAGACTATATCCCCTGCCATGGATTGATCTATGATTATATCACCTCCAGTCATCATTGGGGAAGGTGGTATGTCTAAATACTAGGAAAAGGTACGATAAGAATTTCGACGAATTTGAACTGAGTAAAGCTGCATGAGAAAGATTGACATGTTACTTGGAAAACTCGAGCACCCGCACTGATTCCTCTCATATAGGTTCCGAAAAGTACTGATAATTGGCCCAGAGATTTCTGTATAGTTTGTGTGGCCATTAAAAATGCCATGAGATCTCCTGGAGTCAAAAATCCTGTGGAGAGTAACTGACCGCCAAAATACAATGTAGAAAGTAAAATACCGTTGACCAATAAATTAGTTCCTGCTTGAAAGAAGCCTATGCCTAAGCCTAATTTTTCATACAGCTCGGAGGAACGCTCGACCTCTTTGCAAAACATTTTCACTTCTTCTTCTTCTGCAGCGAATGCTCTTACCTGATAAAAAAAAGTAGATGCAAGTATATATACCACAGGATTTTTGTAGTATGACTTATCAGTTGGCAAATTTTTTTATAGTACCGTTCGAATATTTTGTATAGCCTCATCGCAAACAGCAGTCGATTTTGCAACTTGATTCTGTGCCTCCATCGATAACTTTCGTAAACTTCGACCGAGCAGAGTACCAACCAAAATTATTGTTGGTAAATTGAACACCACAACAGTGGCCAATTCTGGTGATATTGCTATTACAGAGATGATACAACCAATAATTTGCGTGAAGCTTCTCAAGCCTTGAGAAATGCCGATTTTAAATGAGCTTTTAAAGTCTTGAATATCACTGGTCAATCGACTTACTATTTCACCAGAACGTGTTTTGTCAAAAAATGACACGTCCTGCATAATAATGGACTTGAATAGATCCTGACGTAAATTCACTGCAATTCTTTCACCAATGTGTGAAAGTGTATAAATATACACAAATGTAAAGAATGCCTGAAAAAGTAGATATTAACACAGATGTGTACAGATGTCAGAAGAATAGTAATGTATCTTTATTTTTATTAATATATATATATATATATATATACCTGTGCAATATACATGCGTGCCAAGATGAAAGCTGGTTGAGCAAGTTGTAAAATAACATTTTTTGTAGAGTCAGTCTTGTCCTGACAAATTTTTGTCAATACATTTATAATGCTACCAACAGATTGTGGAATCCGAATATTCAGCAGTGCAACTATTATTGCACTCTGTAATAATAATATAATAGTATAACAGTATATTTTTTATTGAGAAATCTTAAAATTTAGAGAATGACAAATACTTACTGATAGTGCTATCACTAAATACCAAATATGCGGGTATAAATACTTAAAAAATTTTTTCCATTCAAAAGTCAGCTCAGGATTTTCAGGCTTTGTATCACTTATTATGTTAGCTTCTCTACACATTACTATTTGATTACGAGACTTTAGAAGATAAGCAGTTGTTATTCCAAATCCACTAAAGCCAAATTTAAAAATATATGAAATAAGTTTTGAGTCATTTACACTTTTTTTAACATTTCGTTGAATGATTTTTGTAAACTCTTGTTTTGCTGCTTTCCATATATTTTGACTCTTCTCTTGTAGGACATACTTATGTAAAGGATATCTACAATATAAAATAAAAATTATATAGATGCATTATCATTTTTAGTAATAAATTTGCTTGTTATACTTAGTAATTACATCTGATATGTATGTTATATCATTGTGTATATATATATATATATATTATATCATTCATATTTTCTATTATATTTACGTTATTTTTTTATTTCTATTATATTTACGTTATTTCTTTAGATAATTAAATGATCGCGTTAGGCATGGCACGAAAATTTTTAAATTACCTTGAAATTGTGGAAAAATTGTGACACTTGAATAACACGACACGTAACATAGACATTTTTACAGTGAAATTTTTATTATAAAACTACTGAGTCACGTTAATTATATTTAATGTTTATCTTTATTATATTTCTTCTTTAATATATTTATATATCATAATAAAACGTCTCCTTTTAGTTAAAATAGCTAAAATGCAAAAATATTCCTTTTCAATATTCAAGAAGGTTAAGTAATAATACTAGTAATGTGAGAAGAAGAAACTACATCATATATACAACAACATTGCAGCCAATATCGTGCCAATTTTTGATAGTAGTTTTTAGTTCAGTATACATTCGACAGATGACACTTGATATACGTTCGGTCGGCTAACTTTAGATGAAACTGTTCATAGGTGGCACTCAATGTACATTATGTGGACCAACTTTGGCCGTTAACTTCAGAGTTATGATCTGCCTATACAAATGCATGTACGTGCGCTATGAAAATGATACGATTCGGCACAAAAAATATAGATATAGGTAAGAAATATGTAATACATCAATATTACATGAAAGTATATGAAGCGTGGAATGTACGGAAATATGAGAACATGAGAATAAATTATGTATGAAACTTTGTTTCCAGAATCCAAATGCCAACTACGTGTTCGATGGAAAGCCGATATCTCAAGAAAATGGCGGACGCGTCGAGTACATCAAACGTAAGAATTTCGCATGTTATAAGATAAAAAAGGTAATTTGATAATAATATTGCACTCAATCAATATATGTGTGATTACATATATTTCAAACAAAAGCGAAAAAAGACATTTTTATAATTTTCTGTATATTTCCGATATTTATATCGACAACCACATATGAAATACTCGAGAAAAATTTATTTATTCGTTAAAACATATTGATGTACTAACATTTAATTGGTACATCATCAAAATAAACGTTAATTGCATGCTCTTTCTATTACGATAAATGCTTGTATGAAAATCAATACTTGAAAACAGTCTTACTATTACGATTCTTATTATACGAACGAAGGTAAGAAATATGGTCAACATGTTGAACACTCTTATTTATTTGCATCGTTAGTCTACGAGATCGTACTTTATTCGTCGGCGTTCATGAGTCGCGACGTTTAACTTTGGAATTATTTACAACTTTTCACTGATAGTCGAGAGTTCGCCACGTGGCTCATCAGCAAATATCTTCAACGTCGAGAGAAAGTACGTACAAAAGTAGTAGAAGCGGACTTTGATCAGTAAGCTAATACATGCCGCGAGAGTACACGCGCGCGCGCGGATAAAAAAGCTCGAAAATTGCGCCCCGTTCTCTGCGAGTGGGTGAATGGCGGGGCCTTAAAAGACCTAATCGCCCCGGCAAACTCTTTGAGCGGCGAGTTAATGACGTGTATTTATGTATTCGCCGCGTTTAATTGCCTGTGCGGCTATTAGCCGCTACTCCGCGGCTTCCCGGCTTGAATACTACTACATCATGCGGTAAGGGATAAGTACTCGTTCGTACTTCTTACTGTGCATAACATGTGGTGGTGTAAAATTTGCCCAATCTACAGGGAGGACAAAGATATGTTCCCAGCTTCGTACGGAGAGAAATATTCTGTGAAAACCGCTTTAGATAATATAATAAATAATTCATGATAAAAAGTAATGTATAATGTGTATATCCATGACGAAATTCAATCGATGATTTTGCTGAAAAATTATTGAATTCAGACAGAAAGGAAATTTCAGAAAGTTATATAAGTTTACGTAAGAAAAATAGCTGGTTCTCTCTTACGAAGAACTCGCGATATACTTTATTTATGATAATTATAGCGTATTCTTAGAAAAATCTCTCAGAAGTGTTTCGAGAAAGGCTTGTCGAGAAACACTGTTGATTCCAACAGGATCGAATTTTATAAGTATAACTTGTCGTCTACCCTGTTTATTTGCGGGCTGCGCAAAACTCCATTAGTTCCTTCCTTTTTTTGCGATTTATCCGCGAGTAGTGGGCGAGTAGTGGGTAAATTGTTAGAGCACATGGTTTTGAAGAATGCTCTTTACGAATGCTGGAAGAATATCTTGCAAACGAGTTTGCGTCATCTGCGGTACTCGACGGACTCTGAGAACGGCGGGAACCTCACACATTAAACCCTTCCTCTCAGATCTACAAAAGCCATCGAGTCGAGGCCGCCCTTTTAACCCAGATTTGCGGCACTCTCGCGATCGCTCGTCTTATAGTCATTTTATATGTTCTTATCTCTACGATGATGTTTTCTAAATCAGACGCGATCGTCAAAATATCGCAAAAGTATATAACGCGTACAAAGAGAGAGAAAAATTTATATTGTGTGATCAAAAATGAGTAAAATTATCGTCTAAACATCACGAGAATGAAACACGTCAAAATTTTTACTTTCGGAAGGTTAAATTTGCCAATTGACTGGCGCTTTATGCACCGAATGTGAACAAAAAACGCGCGCATTTTTTTCACGCAAAAATATTTGCTCGTGTATGTATACGAAACGCGTCGAAGTCGAAAGGCGCTCCACAAAGAGAGCCGTGATAACGCGACAGGGCGACATTTTTCGGAGGAAGTTGTTCCAGTCGTCGCGAAATCCGCTACGAACGGGAAAACGAACGGGGAGTAGGAGGACGGGGAGGAGGAGCAGGGGAGGAGGGGGAGGGGGAGTATAAGGGCGAAAGCAAGAGAGAGGGAAAGAGGGTGCAAGCGGCGTAAATGGAGAAAGAGAGAATTCAAGTATAAGCGCTATAACTGCGACAGTTTGCCGCGCCGTGACGGCCGAAGAATGGACCAAATGAAGCCTTCTAAATTTCAACACCCTCTTCGCGTCGCGAGTCTCCCCGTCTTGCCGCCGCAACCCCCGTTGCTCGCCCCCTTCCCAACACTCTCCAGCCTCCCTCCTGGTCCCTTTCAACCCCTCTGGAGTCTCGGGTACGTAAGCCTCGTCCGTGAAACACGCGGTGTGCAGGTGCCGGCGACGGGGTGGCGATGACGCAAAGTCAGCGCGGGCCAATGGACTCGCTCTGGAACAGTCGGAGCGGTGTACGACTGCCGGCTCGCGATTGGGCGTGGCTCCAGGGGCACCCTCGACTCTGCCGCCGCCGCCGCCGCCGCCGCCGCTGCCGCCGACGGGGGTGGGAGAATCCCCAAAGTGTGCCCCGGGGTGTAATATCATACCGCTAGGTGGATAAATAGACGTAGCGCGAGGCTACGGTCGGTGCGCGTTGTGGGCTGGGACGGGGAAAAGAGAGAGAGGGAGAGGAAGAGAGAGAGAGAGAGAGAGAGGGAGAGAGAGGGAGAGAGGGAGAGAGGGAGAGAGAGAGAGGGAGAGAGGGAGAGAGAGTGAGCAAGGGGAGGATGGTCGGAGGAAAGGGGGTAAACGTAAGTAGGGGTAGGACGACGACGGAGGTACGGGGATGTGCGAAATGCGAACAGAGGACGCGGAGGACGCGGAGGAGAAGATGGGAGAGGAGGTAGGATGGGGAGGTCGCGGATGGTTGCTCGAGGCCAGCCGGGAGGAGGAATGGGGACCCGGGTCTGGTTAGAAAATGGTCGCGATAGGCGCGAGGGGCACGGGGGTTGCATGAGGAATCGGGTGGCTGTGCACCACGACGACGGCGGACTAGAACAAATAATGGTTGTAGTCAGCCTCAGCTTCCGAGAGGTATTTTCCAGTCGCGCGAATCGTGCTACCGCTCGGGCACGCTTTCGGCAGGAGGGAGGGTGAGGGTGTAGACCCCCTTGGAAAACAGGCTTCTCGTGACTTTCCATGACGTCGCGAGGACGACTGACTCACGATGAGAACGGAAAGACATCGGGAAAGACATCGTCGTGTCTGAAGAGCGCGAAGCGACCCGTTCGCTTCAGCAAACGTCTTTCTGTACTTTTTCTCTCTTCGTTTTTTTTTTCTATCGCGATATTTGATATCTCGTATTGTTTCTTGCGCGAAAGTTTCGGAAAATTTCAGTTCACGAAAGGGACGAAATCGCGGTAAAATTCGTCCCCTTCCTTGTTCCTTTTTTCTCGAAAATGTAACTTTGATCTCGCCATCTATCTCACATTTTCTGCACACATCATATTTTAAATATATAGAATATATTTTCGACAGTTTCGCGTTATACTTTGGATTCGCGGACGCAAATAGCGACACAAGAATCCGCTATCATGCGGGAAACGATATCGGTGGGTATAGCGCCGGGAAAACGAGCTATCATCGAGAAAAGCTGGCGCGCCTGAAGCGAGCTACCATCGTCTCGCATGCGATTTTGTAGAATGCTGAGCGCAGTGTGTAGCGGAACAGGATGTTGTCAGCTGAAATTAAATTTTCCTCCTAGAGCGGCGGGTCGCTCGGCAACCTGATATTGTGGGCGTTAAGCTGCGTACACATCTACAACGCGTGCTGATGACGCTGTCGCGAAATGTTCGGCGACGTTCATACTGTCACGATTTCGGTAACGGCCGCGTCAAATTAATCAATTAATCATTTATTCAACCTCCAATTGTTAATATGTCCGTGTCATTTGCAGAACATAAAAGAGAACGAGCATTGCTTTCATTCATAATCATTTTCGAAATATTATGATCTTGCAGAATATTCTCGCGCGCTGAAACATTTATCGAGCTTTTCTCGAAATTCGATCGTCCTTGAAACTTGCAATTTCTCACAATCGCGAAATATAAAAAGACATTGCTGCGATGTGTCACTGTGTGAATTTCTTCAATCGCTGTCATCATGAGAACCTGACTCTACGAAAAACAGGGTCGATTTAGGGTACAGGCTGGTTTGACAGTCTCTCGGAACTTTACACTCACCGTGTTAGGCATGCAATGTTAAAATAGAAGCATCGTAATGAGACAAAATCAATGTAATGTCTTATGCATTATTTTATTAAATAATGCTATAGACAATGTAGAGACACACGATATCACGAATTTCTATATTCTACATCTTTGCTATTCTATATTTTGCAGCTTTATATGATTCCAAAAATATTCAATTCTGCTTCATGTTTGTATCTTATATAATTTTCGCACACTTCCCTCGAACTTATTTAGAAACACTCGAGCCATATTATTCGTCGATATCTCGAAGAAAGAGGGGGGAGAGAAAGAGAAAGAGAAAGAGAAAGAGAGGTCTTACG